TAGCCCCGCGGAAACCGTCGTTAGCACCAGCAGTGCTATGTCTGAGCGCCATCGCAGACGGCGAAAAACCACCAAAATGCTGGTGACCATGGTGGTGGTTTTCGCCGTCAGTTGGTTGCCTTTCCACGCCTTCCAGCTGGCGACGGATATCGATAGCGCCGTGTTGGATATGCAATATTTCCGCCTGCTTTACACCGTTTTCCACGTGGTCGCCATGTGCTCCACCTTCGCCAATCCGCTGCTTTACGGATGGATGAACCGAAACTACCGCGCCGCCTTCCTCGCCGTCTTCAAGTGTTGCCGAGGCGGAGAGAACAGGAGAGGCGGGAGGTTGGATAGCATCCATCCCGTAGGAGGAGCAGGAGGAGGAGGAGGAGGAGGAAGGGTGAAGAAGATCGTGATTGAAACGCAAGACACGGTGTCCACCCACCTCAACGCCACCGATGTTTGAGAAGGAGGCGAAGGAAGGAGGGAGGAAAGGGAACGAGATTATAGAACTAGAAAATCAGCCTCAACCTATGTAAAAGAAGGGATAAGAATAAAATGCAACAAGGTTACAGAAGAAAGAAATCAGGAATGTTTTGATCCCGCAGAAGGGCGAAGAAGAAGGTTCTTGAAACAGAAGAAGTGGTGTCCAACCACCTCAACGTATGTACAAACAGAAGGTGAGAGAATGAGGGATGACAAGACAAAGCAACACGTTTACGGAGGAAGGAGAAAGGAAATGACTAAAAAACCAACCCGTCAGAAAACAAGCAGAAATACAAGACACCTGCCTCAACTTACGTACAAAAAGAAGGGATAAGAATCAAATGCAACGAGGTTAAAGTGGAAGGAAATCAGGTGGAGGTGGAAGGGCGAGGAAGATGGCGCTTGAAACACAAAACACGGGGCCCACCCATCTCAACACCAAGGGATGGCAAGACAAAGCAACAGGTTTACGGAGGAAGGAGAAAGGAAAGTGTCCTGTAGAAGAAAATCTAAGGAAATCCAATGCAACGACATTACAGAAGGGTCGCTCTTTGACCTGCCGAAAAAGAAATCCAACCCATCGGATGTGGTGCTTGAAACACAATCTGCAGTGTCCACCCAACCTAACTTACAAAAAGAGGTGGAGTTGGAGGGAGAAGAGAGAAGAAAATGCAGCGAGTTAACAGAGGAAGGACTAAAGGAAGGTTTGTGTCCCCTAGGAGAATATGCAACCTGCCCAAAAGCAAGGAGAGTCCAACCTCCTCAACTTGTGTACAGAAAGAAGTTAAAGAAGTTGGGAGGGATGGCAATACAAAGGAACACGATTACAGAGGAAGGAAAGTAGGAAAGTGTTTGTCATGCAGAAGAAAATCCAATCAAATCCTGTCAAAGGACGTGGAAGGTCGGAGAAGATGCTTGAATTACAAGAAGCAATATCCACCCACCTCAATGCCACTGATGGACAAAAGGAAGGTGGAGAAGGAGGGAGGGATGACAAGAAAATGCCACAAGATTACACAGGAAGGAAGTATCTTGTCCCGCAGAAGAGGCAACAAAGAGAGACAAAGAAATAGAAACAAGAGGAGGCCGACGGCGGGAGTTTCTGAAAAGACCCAAAATAGAAGAGGAGGAGGCAGGGATTAGTAGAAGAAGAATGACTCGACGTCTGCTCGACAAATCGAAGCTTTGAAGACGTGACCTCCTTGTGATGGAGGGACTTTTCTTTGGGGGATTTGTTCGAGTGATACAGCTTTGCATGAAGGATTTGTGGAAAGGTTTGCCCTGAAAAACAGACAGGAAGTCGGTTGGTGGATTGTTTTATAGCAACTGAAAGAACAAACTTTGGTCAACTTTGTCAAAATAGGGCTTTTACTCCATCTTCATTCCACGTGTGAAGCATTTAGCTCGTACTCTTAACCCAGAGTGGTTTACAGGCAGTGGGTTGAGGATTACAATTGACAAACATTTGGGCAGAATCAGCTGCGAGGGACTTTTCACGCTTTGCGAAATCGGAGGCCGCTGAAGACCGTGCAAAAGTATCTTGTCAGGTGAAAGAAAAAGCCCCAAAAAGCCTGTATTTAAGAGTTCAAGGAAAGGATGCATGATGCAAGCTTTGTGAAATCTCAGACACTGTTATGTAATGTGTGTTTTAAATGTGCATCATCCTACAATAAAAGCCAGGAAGAAGTGGACATAGATATGGGAAAGAGAAGGGCGAGAGGGGGAAATACAAATGATTTCAAAGCCTTTTTTATCAGTAGCTTTAGGACAGATGAGCAGAAAGTGAGGAGAGGATCAATGTGAGGAGGGACATGTGGGATAATGAGGGAGAAGGAAACGGAAACGAACATCTCAAAATGAAAATCCAGCTGAGATCACACAGATTTCAAAACGTCTCTTCAGTTTGAAACTGCACGATGACGACGTGTTAGATTAATCTGATTTAGCTGAAAGGCAATTTGTCAAATCTGGCTGACTGCTCACATTTTGCGTCACGCTTCAATTTCATTTTCATTACAGAGTTTAATCAGCACGACTTAATAATATATGAAGAAAGAGAAATATGATTGTTCACTCTGCAGAATTTCTTTTATTTCATTTTGTAAGTGTTTCTTGTACTTCAAAGTGACTTTTATTTAGTAAGTGAAATATAGTGGGCTATTTTGCTCTGAACTGAGCCTTTCAGGCATTTCGTCTTATAGAAAAAAGGCCTGCAGATGCAAAAAAATGTATTAGCATATATGTTAAGTGTTATGTAATTCTAAAGACTCCACTCCTTATATATAAACAATCTCTGTAAATTAAAGGTGATATTTAAGTTTAAATGTTCAGGTTTGTCGGAAACCAAAAGCACCTTACTTACAGATCGCCAGCCATCAATGAAAATGAAGTTTATTTATACCAGCGAGAACCAGGCAACCCAACAGTTGTTCTTAGTAATGGCCATTAAGGCTTGTTAGTTAACTTAGTAAGTGATTTAAGTAAAACCTTTACAAACGGTGCCTTACAGGCCTTTTCCACTACAGGAACTTAAAGTGTTTGTATAGATTGTGATAGGTGCAGCTCAGGAGAAGGAGATGAAGCCAAGTTTAGCGATTTCTGGGAAGAATAAAGCAGTATTGTCAGTGGCCAAATGTTTCAAACTATGTTATCCTACGTACCAATCTTTAGCTTCAGCAGATATACAGGAAAATACTTTAGGAATCTGGGTTAGAGTAAGTGTTTATTAAGTTCATAATACTATTTTGCTAGGCTGTGTTTCCCTTCTTTAGAAATGCAGAAACTGAGATCACTATCGGTTTTCATATATATTTTTTTTCTATCAATGCTGGGACTCTAGTACTTTGTGATTCAGTTTTCATGTTCATGTTTTCGTTGAATCTTTTGCAATAAGATTATCTTTTAGATCCCATTGGTTCTCCTTCTGGCGACGGTCCTCCTTATTCCTCCCACTGAAAACGTGTTGTATCCCGGACGAGTCCCCAAAATTGTTAAATTCTACAAACTGTTGAATCTTTTGCAAAGACCTTATCCGTCGCACAGTTATCTAATATTATATCTAATAACAACTTTGGATCACGTGTTAAAACATGTACTTTTGAAACTAGAATATAGAGGCAAATAGGCAAAGTTTCAATGAATTAAAAGTGTGTTTTGCTGCCTTGTAATTTCTATATTATGCACGATTTGGGTTATCCAGCAATGTTTAGCTAACGGTGACATTGAGAAGTAACATTTCCAGTCATATGAGGCGGAGCGGCACAAGTAAAAAGTGATATATTTGTATTTCTCTTGTAGTAAAAAAACAAACAAAAAAGTATTGTAGTGACAAAAAGTCATTCGATTTAAAAGTGACAAATATCAAAAATGGTGCCAAATGTTTCATCGTCGTTTGGAAATGAACTGTACTCACAACTAAATCAACTAAGTAGAGCATAAAATGTGTGCTTTTTCATTGAAATGTAACCCAAATGTTTGTTGAAAAACACAAATTAGGATCGTGCACGCACGTGCTTAAAAACTTCCTGTAGTGGAAAATGTCAATTTTTAGAAAAGTGGTACCCTAAAACACTTACTTACAGATCAATTCTGAATGTCAGTGCCATGATTTCCTCCCCTTCCCCTGAGTCATATTTATTTATATTCCTATATATCCAATCTTTCACCCCCAGTGTTCCCATCATGCACCCTGCCTGCAGGCTGAAAATCATTACCTGTCTCTTTAGCGATTTCGGGGACAGGAAAGGTCAAAAGTGCATTTGTTTTTTCAGAGACCTTGAGTTTTTCTATTTCCCCCAATGAATATAACTTCTCCTAAAGCTCTTTTTCTTTCCACACCATTTATCGGCGCCGCTCCAAATTAAATTGCAAATATTATTACCAAAGGTCTCATTAAACTTAAATTGCCTGATTTTAATTACGGCGCTCTGTTTCCCTCTGTGTCAACATGCTAAACACTTTGCACAATGTGAATCAACACTATAGCAGTTATTAGTTCTGCAGATGAAACCCTTAGTTTTTTTATTTTTGGGGATTTAGCCTCTTGTTTTTCCCTCTTTAATTCTCCGTCTCTTGTATGCGTCATTACCTCGCCCGACCCGAAATCCCACACTCCCTCACCAGCTGTTTATCTCCGTCCTCTTTCAGCCCATCGTCTGTCTCTTTCCACCCTTTTCCCCGTGAATGCATGCCTCAAACTGGGTTTTCCTCTGAGGGAAAAATGTCTATTTTCGTCCTCATGATGGAGGATTTCATTAAAAAAAAAAAAGCTGCAATGTTGGTGATATTTTACCCTGACTGTATCCGCCTCAAATATATTTCCAGCAAATAACTAAAACATAAGTAAACCAATATGTGCTTTACTTTAACAGCAGCATCCTGAGTTATGAACCCTGGCGTTAAATTGGATGTTTTATGAAAAGGATTATATTTTGAATGGTAAAAAGATTTAAAAAAGGGCAGTTTGACGTCATCTGGTTTGCTTTTAATCCTTGAAGATATCCCACGATGCATTGCGTGGGTACGTCATCATGCACTTTGTTAATAGAGGAAATATTTTGTACACAAATGACATTTATTGGAGCATTTTAAGGACTTGGATTGACATTAATTGTACAAAAAAGGATTAAATAATATCATTTTTTTGGTAAAAACATAAATAAAAATACAAGCATGCGGTCATACAAACTGCAGGACATTTTTTTTACGTTTTTAATTTTTTCTAGCAAGCAGAAAACTTCAGAAAACATAATTAGAAACTTAGTGAATGGATATTTCTTGTTGCAGTGCATCTTGGGAGGTGTAGTTAACTTCTACCTTTTACATTTTTGAGTCTGTTTTCTAATAAGTTAATATTTTGGACTTTTTTGTAGCAGTTTCCAAGAACAAACGTTACATTTAACTCATTAAAGAGTGTTGAAACTGTATTATTATTTTATCACGTTTGTGACACTAGCTAGCAATACGTTTATAACGTCTACCAACGCTATAGGACTCAAAGCAAACAAGATGGCGTCATTCCCGTTCAAACATGTCTTTCAGCTTGTTTTCCTATTATTTGCAGAACAGTACCCGGTGTTTATTTCCTCAGTGATGATGTTCTGATGTTTTTCTGACGAGGTTTGGGGGGGACACAGATGCTGCTTGACCTTTATAAAAACATGAATGTAAAACTGCTTAGTAACATGGATGTAATGTTGTTTATCGTGTCATTCTGTGTAAATATGTGTGAACGACTGTAACCAAGCACAACGTGTGGGCCTTTACTCGTGTCCAACAACAGATGTACTGTTTTCTCAAGCACAAATACGCCTCTGACTCCTTATTTACCTGTGTGTGTGTGTGTGTGTGTGTGTGTGTGTGTGTGTGTGTGTGTGCGCTGTGTATGTGTGTCTGTCTTACTGATGTTGTGGGGACACAACTGTTTACACAATCACAATGTGGGCACACGCAACTAGGGACTTACACAAATGTAAGTTTAAGGTTGTGTGTGTGTGTGTGTGTGTGGGTGTGTGGGGTGTGTGTGTGTGTCCTTATATACATTTGTTTTGTTAGGGGCTGTCACAATATAAGATTTTCTCTACTATATCACTGTGAAAGTAATAACCCACGATAGTGATATTGTCACGATACCTTGATAACATTTAAAAATATGTATAATGTTGCTCAAAATAATCTTTTTTTAGCATTTTACTTATTTGTTCAGTTTAGAAACATAGTTATTTAACATTACAGCTACTTAACTTACATAACAATCATAAACAAGTCACAGTTTTCAATACTTTTAGCTAATAATACTTTTTTTTAAAGAACATTTGACCATGAAAATTCACAAAATGCATTGATTTTAACCAAAAAATGTACCTGTCTTTCTGAACAATATAAGGTTAACTAAGTGCAGCAAAGCTTTCATTTAACTCCAGTTTCATCAGTGCGGAGGGTCTCAGCTGACGGCGACTTCACAGTTTCAGTTGCTATACATGTATACACTCCATAAAAAATGTAAGCGACATGTTTGTGTGTAAAGCAAGCTGACATTCATCTAAATATTCAACAGACAGCGTTGGATCCGCAGCTCAGGTGGGATCAGATCAGCAGAAAGAGACACGATGAGTTTGAATTGAAAACGGTTAGTGACGCTCGTTCACAATAAATGTGCCTCGCTGGGCAGAACAGAACAATTAGACAGAATACTAGAAGTCTATTTTTACTTTTTCATCCACAACTTTTACTCAACAGTGAAACGTTTGGACATAATTGGTGTTTCAATCCAATCCACTTTTTTCTATAGCACATTTAAAAAAACAGAGGGTTTGCCCAAGTGCTTCACAATGAACATATTGTGGTGACACGTTATTGGACATAATTCACCTTGCTTATTGTGTTGCCACACGGACCCTTTAGTGGGGAACACCTGTAGCTTTAGCTGCCATTCCTGCTAGCTCATCAGGCAGAGCAGTGCATGTGTTAACCTCTCTGAAAGTAATGGATAATAAAGATTGGAACTCCATTCTTAATACACCGCCTCCGACTCTCTTTTCACGGCACTACACTGGTGACCCTGACTTTTCCGAGAAAGTTTCCGGAAAATTAACGAACATGGCTGAGCGCGATGTTTTCATAAAGCTGCCGGAATTCTGGGAGCACACCGCGGAGGCATGGTTCGCACACGTGGAGGCACATTTCGCCTGCCGACAGGTCCGTGACGGGGACCTAAAATACTACCATGTGGTAGCAGCGCTGGGGAGCTCCACGTCGTCCAGGTTGGTGGGATTCATCGCAGCCCCCCCACATCATGGCAAATATGAGGCGATTAAGGCCCTTCTCCTTAAGACATTTAGCTTATCTGCTAAGGAGAGGGCCCGCCAGATACTTGACATTCAAGGCCTAGGAGACAGCAAGCCATCCCAGCTAATGGAGAAAATGCTAAATCTGCTAGGGGGGGAAGATCCCCGGATTTTATTCACGGAGATTTTCCTGCGTCACTTGCCTCCCCGGGTACAGACGGCGCTGGCCAACACGCCTGTCACGGAGCCCCGTGCTTTGGCTGAGGAAGCAGATCGTTTTTTCCTGGCTACGCAACAGCCCGGGGCAGAGACGTTAGCCGCGACGCTCAGCGGCCCACCGGCAGTCAAGAAAGCGTGGCGGAGGCCGGACACGGCTGTGGCTAGCCGGCGTGGAGACGCCGGAGAGTGCGTTTACCACGCACGTTTCGGGACAAGGGCGAAGAGATGCATCGCTCCGTGCAGCTACAAACCCCCGGGAAACGGAGGGGCCGGCGCTCAGTAGTGGGCTCTGAGCGTCGGCGGCACGTGCAGGCTCCTCTTCGTCAGCGACAGCGTTTCGGGGAGCCTGTTTCTGTGTGACACGGGCGCTCAACGGAGCGTAGTTCCAGCGTCGAGTGAAGACGTCGCCCGTGGGGGGCACGGACCGCGATTGACGACGGCTAACGGCAGTCCCATTCGCACGTACGGCGTGAGGCCTATGTGTTTGTGCATCGGAGGACAGCGTTTCAGCTGGGATTTTGTGACAGCGGACATTTCTTTTCCCCTCCTCGGAGCGGATTTTTTGTGTGCTCATGGACTCTTAGTGGACGTTAAGAATAGGCGTTTGGTTGATGCCTTAACGTTTTCTTCCCTCGTGTGCACACTTGGCAGCGCAGCGTACGACGGGCTGTCAGGCTCGCTGTCAGGTGCAGACACGTTTCTCAGACTGTTGGCCGAGTTTCCAGACCTGTCGCTACCCACCTTCTCTGCGCTTACCACTAAGCATGGCGTGGAACACCACGTCACTACCGGAGGGCCTCCTGTCTACGCCAGGGCCCGGCGGTTGAACCCTTCTAAGCTGGCTGTAGCGAGGGCGGAGTTCGCAACCATGGAGCGCCTGGGCATTGTCCGCCGCTCCGACAGTCCTTGGGCTTCCCCCCTGCACGTCGTTCCCAAATCGAACGGCGGGTTCCGCCCGTGCGGGGATTACCGCCGACTCAACGACGCCACTACGCCTGACCGCTATCCGGTGCCGCACATTCAGGACTTTTCGGCGCATCTGGCCGGTACGGGGGTGTTTTCCAAGGTGGACCTGGTGCGTGGATACCACCAGGTGCCCATGCACCCCCTGGACATTCCCAAGACAGCAGTGATAACGCCTTTTGGACTTTTTGAGTTCCTGCGGATGCCTTTTGGACTCAAGAATGCCGCTCAGACGTTCCAGCGCCTGATGGATTCGGTGCTGCGGGACCTGCCGTTTGTGTTTGTTTACCTCGACGACATACTCGTCGCCAGCGCTTCAGTGCAGGAGCACCTGTCCCACCTCCGAGCCCTTTTCACACGGCTCAAAGAACACGGATTAATCATCAATCCTGCAAAGTGCCAGTTCGGGGTGTCGGACATCGATTTCCTGGGGCACCGCGTCACCAAGGGCGGTGCGACACCTCTGCCAGCGAAGGTGGAGGCTGTTGCGGCGTTTCCTCGCCCGCTCACAGCCCGGTCGCTCCGTGAGTTTCTGGGGATGGTGACTTTCTACCACCGTTTCATCGCCCGGGCCGCACACATCATGCGGCCGCTGTATGAAGCGTTGAAAGGCAAGACCCCCGTCCAGGAGATCGACTGGACAGCAGAGGCGGACGGCGCTTTTGCTGAGGTCAAGACCGCGTTGGCTCAGGCGGCTTTGCTGGCACACCCATCATCTACGGCTCCCATCTCCATCACCACGGACGCGTCAGACTACGCGGTCGGCGCAGTGCACGAGCAGTGGGTAGAGGGCGCTTGGCAGCCGCTCGCCTTTTTCAGCCGCCAGCTGACGCCTAGAGAACGCAAATACAGCGCCTTTGACCGGGAGCTCCTCGGACTTTATTTGGCCGTGCGGCACTTCCGTTTCATGCTGGAAGGCCGTGAATTTACGGCGTTTGTCGACCACAAGCCGCTCACCTTTGCCATGTCAAAAGTGGCGGAGCCTTGGTCGGCACGTCAGCAGCGGCAGCTGTCCTACATATCGGAGTTCACTACGGACATTAAGCACGTGGCTGGCAAGTCGAACCTGGTTGCTGATTGCCTCTCCAGGGTCGTCATCGGTGCCGTCCAGTTGGGCCTGGACTATACTCGCATGGCGGCAGACCAGGTCACAGATCCCGGCGTCCAGGCCCTGAAGGTGGAGAGCGCGGGGCTGCGCTTGGAGGACGTGGTGTTCGGCGACGCGGGCATTACTCTCCTGTGTGACGTCTCTACGGGCCTGGCGCGGCCTGTCGTCCCTGCCAGCTGGAGGCGTCCTGTGTTCGAGGCTGTGCACGGCCTGTCACACCCCGGCGTTAAACCTTCGGTCCGTTTGGTAGCGGCGAAGTTCGTTTGGCAAGGACTGAAAAGGGACGTGAGGACTTGGGCCAGGGAGTGCGTGGCTTGTCAACGCGCTAAGGTGCACCGCCACACGAAGGCCCCGTTGGAGCGTTTCCTGGTGCCTGAGAGGAGGTTTGATCACGTCAACATTGACCTGGTTGGTCCGTTGCCTTCCTCTCAGGGGTTTTCCTACCTCCTCACCATGGTGGACAGGACGACCCGTTGGCCGGAGGCGGTTCCGCTCGTTTCGACATCAGCCGCAGACGTTGCCCGGGCCTTCATTGCAACGTGGGTGTGTCGTTTTGGCACCCCGTCAGACATTTCCTCAGACAGGGGCTCTCAGTTCACGTCCGAGCTCTGGAACGCTGTGGCAGGCGGTTTGGGGGTTAAGCTGCACAGGACTAGCGCTTACCACCCTCAGGCTAACGGCCTCTGCGAGCGCTTTCATCGCTCCATGAAGGCGGCCCTCAAGGCCGGCCTTACGGATGGTAACTGGGTCGACAAGCTGCCCTGGGTGATGCTGGGCCTGAGGACCGCACCTAAGGAAGATCTGCAGTGTTCTACAGCGGAGATGGTCTACGGTCAGCCGCTGAGAGTTCCGGGGGATTTCCTCCCAAATGCATCGGCTCCCTGGTCGGCGTCGGCCCAGCGGGTTTTCCTGCGTGACGCCGCTGAGGCCTTTGTTCCGATCCCTACTACTCAGCACGGTACTCAGGTGTCCCAGGTTCCCGCAGAGCTCCGCTCGGCGGAGCACGTGTTCATCCGGCACGATGCGCACAGAGGCCCCCTGCAGCCCCCTTATGATGGGCCTTTCCGGGTCTTGGAGCACGGGGACAAGCACCTGGTGGTCGACCTGGGTGGCAAGGCCGAGCACGTCTCGGTGGACCGGGTGAAGGCTGCTCACCTGGACTTGGACCAGCCTGTGGTGCTGGCTCGACCTCCGCGACGGGGCCGCCCCCCGGCCTCGTCCCCTGTCACG